AATGAAAATAGGATAATTTCTCCATTGCTCTTGATTTTATAAACTATATTGATAATCCTGAACTTAATCTTCCAGAGAATATATATTTGATGAGTTAGTAGTATCTTATATTTCCAGAAAATTATTAAAGCTTATTAAAGTTTATATGGACTAAGTCTATATAAATAAAATAAATGTTTTGATCAGATAAAAATGAACAGTTATTCAGAAACCCTGTCTCTGTCTGTAACTTGGGATGGGTTCTGACTGAGGAATACATGAGTCATAATTATCTCACATGTGTGTTTCTCTTGAATTCACAAAGAACTTTGGAATATGTGAACTAATTTAGTCCTGATAATTATACAATGACAGGCATTATAGTTCTCAGCTCTCCAATTAAAAGCCAAAGACTGGCATAGTTCATTGAAAAACAAGACCCAATTACATATTGTATTCAAAAGACTCATCTTACAGGCAAAGGCAGCCACAGACTGAAAGTAAAAGGATGGAAAATTATATTCCATGCAAATAGAGCCTAAATGCAAGCAATAGTAGCTACTCTCGTATCCAACAAAGGGGACATCAAGCCAAAATTAATCAGAAGAGACAAAGGGGGTCACTTTATAAGGGTAAAGTGAAAAAAAAATTCAGCAAAGATACATAATAATGATAAATATTTATGCCCCAAACACTAGTGTATCTAATTACTTAAGACAAACACTACTCAAAGACCTATACAGACCCCAATACAATAATACTGGGCAATTTTAATACACCTCTCTTACCAACAGATAGGTGGTTATCCTAACATAAAATCAGTAAAAAACTCTTTAAACCTAAAAAAAATATAATAAATTGTGCTAACAAGTGTCTATAGAATATTTCATCCAATAACAGCAAAATTCATTTTTTTTCAAATTTCATTGAATCCTCTCCAAAATACACCATATTGTAGATCACAAAGCAAGTCTTAACAAATTAAAAAATTGTCATAAGCCCTTGCATCTTATCAGATCATAATGGAATATAATTAGAAATCAATAGCAAAACAACTATGGAAACTACATATTAATAAAGAGATTGAAGGATATACTTTTGGATGATGAATGAAACAAAGATGAAAATAGAATAAAAAATTTAAAATTTCTAGAATCAACTGAGAGTAGAGACAACATATCAGAATCTCTGGGACATTTTATGAAGGAAGATCTAAGAGAAAACGTAAGAACAAGATTTCCTACATAAAAAAAAAAAAATCAAAAATATCCCCCAAAAAGCTAAAAATACATCTTAAGGTTCTATAAAAACAAAAACAAATCAAACTCAAAACCAGTATAAGAAAGTATTAAGATCAAAGCTGAAATTAATGATATATAAAGTGGAAAAGTAATGCAAAAGGTTAATGAAACAAAAAGCTGATTCTTTGAAAAGATAAACAAGTTTGATAAATCCTTAGCCAAACTAACCAACAGAACAAAAGACCCAAATTAGCAAAATAAGAGATAAATATGAGATATCACAACAGACATCTGAAAAACAGAGGCTCTTAAGAACTACTTTGAAAACTTATATTCCAATAAATTTGAAAATCCAAAAGAAATGGATAAATTTAGATACATAAGACCTACCAAAATCAAACCAAGAAAGCATAAACACACCAACAAGCAATCAACTTGAAGCACCAGTAAAAATTCTTTCAAAAAACAAAAGCCCAGCTAAATTCTATCAGTCCTTTAAAGAAGAACAATGTAAATTCTCCTGATTCTGTGAAATAGAAAGGTACCCTCCTATGAAGCCAGTATCACCCTGATTCCAAAACCAGATAAGGACATGTCAAGGATAGAAATCTACAGACCAGTATTCCTGATGAACATAAATGAAAAAATCTTTAATAAAAAAACTAGTAATTTGTATTCAGAAACACATTAAGAAGACTACAAATCATGATCAAGTTGGTTTCATTCCAAAGACACAAGGAAGGTTCAACAAATGCAAATCAATAAACAAATAGAATTAAGTACAATCATCCTATGATCATCTCAAGAGATGTAGAATAATCTTCACCAAATTCAACACCCATTCATTTTCAACTACTGAAGAAATGAGGGATACTAGGAACTTACCTTAACATCATAAAGGTTATATATGAAAAACCCAAAGCCAACATCATACTGAATAGGGAAAAACTGAAAATATTTCCTCTAAAGTCAGGAACCAGAAAAGGATGCCCATGCTCACCATTCCTATCCAATAGCACTTAAAATTTTAGCTGGAACATTTAGGCAAGAAAAGGAAATAAACAGAATAGGAAAGGAAAAAGTCAAATTATCACTGTTTGCAGATGATATGATCCTATATTTAGAAGACCCAAAAAGCCTATCAAAAGATTTCTAGAGCTAATAAATGAATCCAGTAAAGTAACAGGATAAAAAATTAACAAACAAAAATTAACAACAATGTTTATATACACTAATAATGAGTTCAATGAAAAAGAATTTAGGAAAACAATCCCATTCACAATAGGCTTAAAAACAAAACGAAATTAAAAAAATACCTTAGGACTAAATCTAACCAAAAAGGTAAAGGACCTCTACAATGAAAATTATCAAACTCCAAAGAAAGAAATTTAAAAAGGCATTAGAATATGGAAAGACCTCCCATGTTCTCGGACAGACAGAATTAATATTGCTAAAATGGTCATATTGCCAAAAGCAATCTATAGATTTGATGCAAACCCCACCAAACTACCAAGAATGTTATTCCCAAAACTTTAAAAAATAAAGTCCTAAAATTCATATGGAAGAATAAAACACCCAGAATAGCCAAAGCAATTCTGAGCAATAAAATCAATGCTGGAGACATCACAATACCCAATTTTAAACTATATTACAGAGCTATTCTAACAAAACAGCATGGTATGACAAGAATTAATAATGGGGTAGCATCAAATTAAAAGGTTTCTTCACATTAAAGGAAATAAAATCATGAAGAGACAGCCCTCACAATGGGAGAAAACTTTTGCCAACTACTCATCTGACAGAGTATCAATATCCAGAATTTATGACTCAAAAAACTTAACACTAAAAAATGACCCATCCAATAAATGCACAAATGAAATAAACAGACACTTCTCAAAATAAAAAAAAAATAGATGGCCAACAAATATATGAAAAAATGTTCAACATCTTTAGCAATCAGGGAGATGCAAATCAAAACCACATCAAGAGTTCATCTCACTTCAGTTAGAATGACTATCATCAAGAATACAAATAATAAATGCTGGTGAGGATTTGGGAAACAATTAACACTCATATATTGTTGGAGGGACTGGATATTAGTACAACCACTGTGGAGTCTGTCTTCAAAAGACTAAGAATGGAACCACCGTATGACCCAACTAAACAATTTCTCAGTCTTTGTCCAAAAGAATTAAAGTGAGCATACTTATAGGAATACATGTATAGCCATGTTTATAGCAGCACAATTCACTATATCTAAGTATGGAACCAGGCCAGGTGTCTGTCGATAAATGAATGAACAAAGCAAAGTGGTGCCTATCCACAATGGAGTTTTACTCAGCCATAAAGAATGAAGTCATGTTATTTTTTCCTGGAGTTCTATCCAGAAAAATGAACTGGAAAACAT